ACAATCTTTATTTCGCATTCTTGTCCATGCTGTAAATTACACATCTTACTCATCTGAGCATAATTATCATTTTTATTTTTGCAACTTCTTACTTTCTAGTTTCCAAAATATTTGGTTTAATTGCATTTAAAGTTGAGGCTTGTGTGATGTTTGCTTTTCTTTTTATTGGTCATGCAAAAGGAATTCAGTATACCATGCTGAATAAACCTTCTTCCATCAGCTACACACCACACCCCGGACGCTTTTCTATGTTTATGCAGTGTTTTACCATGGCTCTTAAATGTTTTAATATGTATTCTTTGGGGGAAAATCTGAAGGTTGAGGGTGGTTTTAAGCACAATCTAACATTTCAGGTAACTGCTCTATTTTAAAATGAGATCCAAGGGCTTGCGAGTGAGTAACAAATTGGGTTTTTGAGTTAAAAATTTAAAAAAATGGCTGATAATAGGTTTTAGTAATTAGAGGGGTTAAATCAGGCAGACAGGTTTTGCAATGTAGAGTTTATAGGTTCTTATTTATGGTGCCAGTTTGGAAGATACCAAAGCTTGAAAGGACCTGTACCCTGGGTTTTTTTTCGTGCTTTAAAAAAAAAAAAAATTGTTCTTTGAATTTGGTTTTGCAGATGTAATTCACTGACTTTCCCCCCTGTTTTTGTAATAAAGAAAGAAAACTTGTGCCAAATTTGTACAGTTTCTTTTTGCTCTTGCTTTATTACATATACATTGGATTTTGGTAATGGGAAATAATATAACTATCGTGAGCAACAAACCTTAACACAACTGAAAGGAAAAAAATAAAAAAACATATTATGAATGTTGTCAGTTTAATTAAAATGACAAATTATCTGTGAACCTCTGCAGCTCGGATCATGCAAAAAAGTTCCATATTAAAAATTCATTAAGTTCAAATTGACGTTTTAACTGACGCGGTCTTGTCAAATTTTCGGTTAGATTTAGAGAAACAGTAACTGCAGTTTCTTTTTCTCTCTTACAAACAAACCTTGGACATCTTCCCTTAGGCTTTTTGCATCTCACATATAAGAATTTTCAAAGAAAAGAGAAATGGAAGCCAAGCAAATAACAATGGTGAGCAACAAAGACTTTAGCAACCTTTTCATTAGAAATAAACTGAACACAACACCTGCAGTCATTACAGTTTGAAAGTTACAAGCAGTTATTAGAGCAGAGAAACTTTTCACTCCGCTGACAGCGGCTTCAGGAGCATGAAGGAAGGAAGAGCAAAGAGGGAAAAAAATAGGGCAAGAAAATGTCAATATGAGAAATGAAGGATGGTGGGTGCTCCCTTTCTCTCTTTAAAACGCAGGTGGCGGGAGCCACTCAATATTCATCGATTAGAGACGATGCGTCGGCGAGAGAGAGGGTACGCTGACGTGCAAGCAAGCGCTCCTCATTGAGTTCTCCGTGTTTTTCTAACCCTATGAATCAGTTCTTTTTGTCTACAAGGCAATTTGCTTCGGAGATAAAACTGCTCAGGGTTAATCCGGAGCACCAGCAGCGTCTTTTTGCCTCTGTTTCTGTTTTAATTTTTGTCTCCTTTTATGCATGGGGTGTAAATTAAGGTACACTTGCTTTCAGCCTGACCCTGATTTGTTCTGCTCCTGAGCAGTAAAAACAAAGACATGATGAAAGACAAATCAGAGGAGTGGATGTTTATCTCTTTGTATAATTTTGTTAAGGTGCTTGCCATATCTCATTTGCTCTTTCACCTTCACACATCATTGACTGCATTCTTTCTTCTTCTATTATCTGGTAGAAGTTTCTTTGTATTCCACTGAAATGATTGTGGAAATCACAGAATATAAAAACTCTACATGGCTCTAAAAGAGACAGTGGGGGTGAAGGGAAGAATTTGCCCAGCTGGTATCTTCTGCAAGAGCGACAAAACGTAGCTTCGCCTTCCTTTGATTGTCTCTGGATATTAGGCTTCTATCTGCGGCCGCCAGTTAAGCTCCTCAGCTGGCTTTTCTTTAGCAATCTGCTGCTCTGTTTCATGACACCCGCGTTAAATAAGCACCCGTCTATCACCAAAATATGCATGCATGGGAGGGTTGGGGAAATAACACATAGCTCATAACTGTCTGTATTTCACGTTTTTTCTCCTGTCTTATCAGGTGCTGCATTTCAAAGTAAAAAAAAAGAAGAAATCTCAGCTTTCAGATAAAAGAGGGGAACTTTCACACTATATACCTGCTTCGTTCCTTCTCTCCCGGCTCCCTCATTCAGCATTATCTCTCCTTACTGTGCCCGTGCCATCTGCTAGATTAATTGATCAAAAAGGCAAGGAACGCTCCTCGACGTGTGCTTGATTGAAATTGGGACAGCCGGAGCCGTCATATTTTTCACCCCGGCTTCCCGTGCTGCTCTGCCGCTTTTTTTTCCCCGCACCCTCCCTTCGTCTGTCTCTATCTATCTCTACTTTGCTCTCGGTCTGCCTCTTTTCATTGTTACTCCTCTTTTTCATATTCCTCTCCATTTTAACACCTACATGCTTGTTAATAACCCAGATAGTATATCACACGGGGGGAAAAACGACATTTATACGCTCCGTTGGATTGTTTTTTGCAGAGATAACAGAAAAATTTGAAAAAAGGGTAAAAACTTGAAGTGAAGGAAGTGTGTAAAAGTTGAAGATCTTTAGAGAGAGTACTCCCAGATCCAACAGTTTTTATTTTGTTCTTACAACAATGTTGATATGAAGCATGATGTGCAGCAATGGGGAGCCATTCTGACTGATCAAAATACCAACTAAGGGCCACAAATCAAATAAAGAACCGGGACACTCAGGCGTTTGTGTATTGGCAAGAGCATTTGAGCGTACACAACCGTGTCTTTTTTCATTTCAAACAAGCCGGCCATGTCAAACAAGTGTGTATGTTTGCCTGTTTGAAAGGTTCATAATGGTCAAACTTTGTTGAATATTGCTCTTCAGCCAAACAACCCCACTGCGATCATCCATGTAGCACAAGGCTCTGTTATCTGCAGGGTATGAGTAAAAACGCCATGCTGAGCTGGCAGAGTGTCAGGCGGAGCGTGACCACACAGTGAGACATGTATAGATCATTTACGATATATCATCCAGAAGACAGGGCAGATGGTGATTCTGACACTTGCTCAAAACAAACAAGAAGACGATGACACCTTTGGACCTTAAACTACCTCCTCCTGTTGTTGTCTTCTGTTTGAATGCGCCAATCGTGTTCAGCTTGATTTTTTTCCAATCACAAAGAACTGGATGCAAGCTGTATGAAAGACATTTTACACAAAGTAAAAACAGATACCATGAATGTAAATGTTTTCTTTAGGTATAAAGTGTGTAAACTGCACCAATTGGAACTGAAATGTTCTTGCAAATACACACAAAATCAATCCTAACAGCAGCTCAGAGACATCAGTTACTCTAATCACCATGTGTTTGGAGAAAACCCATGCATGCATAGGGAGAACAAGTCAGAGATTGAACCCAGGACCTTCTTGATGAAAACTGCAGCACCATGCAGCCTAATCTTAAATGTAGGTTTTTACATTTACACCACAGTCTTGTAAAGCTTGGTGTATGCTGAGATTAGAACTTACTTACACGTCAATTAAAGGTTTGGACATATGAAAAGAAATGCATAAAATTGAAAATATTAATTTCCTTTATTCTAAAGAAAAGAAAAACAGCTGCTATCTTTGACTTTTGAAGATGCTTATAGTTACTAATAAGTTCCTAATAAGCTTTACCCAATTGTACTATAGTTAATATCAGGTTGGGATGTATATATTTGAATACAGATCTGTCTTTATGTACCTTTTAGAAAATGATGTGAGATAATGTTTTCACAGTAAAGAGTAAGGTAAATTAAACTGAATAATCAATAACCTACCTGCATCTACCTATAAAATATTTTTAGGTGAATATGTAGAAGTGTGTGGAGGGGTACGTTTTTTTTCAAGCAAGCAAAGCTAGAAGACATTTAAATGTATTTCAATAGCATGATTTCTATCAGTTTTAAGCATTGTGAAAGACTGGAAGAAAAATTAAGGTGTTTTTTTCCCCTCTTTATTTGCCCAGCAAATGTTCGTCAAAACATAGATAGCTCTAACACTCTGACAACATTTTCTGAACATTAACTAAAGCTGGAAGGTGTACTCCCTACACATCTGAAAGGAACACATATTTCTCTACAAACAGAAACTTTATCTTTGTTTCCAGGGGAGATCACAATGATCCAGTGCAGCCTTAAAATAGAGAATTTTAGTTTCTTACCTTGTCTGCATGAATTCCTTTGGATTTTCAGTTGTCTGTATTCGTGATCTATCTATCTATCTATCTATCTATCTATCTATCTATCTATCTATCTATCTATCTATCTATCTATCTGTCTGTCTGTCTGTCTGTCTGTCTGTCTGTCTGTCTGTCTGTCTGTCTGTCTGTCTGTCTGTCTGTCTCTATCTATCTATCTATCTATCTATCTGTCTGTCTGTCTGTCTGTCTGTCTGTCTGTCTGTCTGTCTGTCTGTCTGTCTGTCTGTCTATATCTATCTATCTATCTATCTGTCTGTCTGTCTGTCTGTCTGTCTATATCTATCTATCTATCTATCTATCTATCTATCTGTCTGTCTGTCTGTCTGTCTGTCTGTCTGTCTGTCTGTCTGTCTGTCTGTCTGTCTGTCTGTCTGTCTATCTACACTCAAAAAAAGCAAACTGGGTGTCTGTTACCTTATCTTATGTCTAACATGTAGCTTCTACTATATAAAATCATGTTTTGTGGTTGAACAGTTTTAAATCATGTAGATTTAGCATAAAATGCAACAACTTAAAATTTACTTGAATAATTTATTTTAAAACAACCTAATTCTAATGGGTTAAGATTGCAAATCAATAACACTCCAAAGCAGTAGGTGGCAGTAATGAGCACATTCCCCTCTCTTGAAGGCCACGGTCAAAGGTGAGTGAGTCCCCGACTCTGGCTGGCAGAAGGAGTAGACATTTTGAAAATAAATTTCAAGTGTGGAAGAAGGTAAGTTTAATCTTTTATCATCCATCGAACAGAAAACAATACGGCAGCAGACATGTTATAGACAGTTAGTTATTGTCCTCTTTTGCATTTTGGATTATTTATTTGTTACTGGGCGTTTTATTAGAGTGCATTAATATATCACACTGTCGCCATGCTCATAGCTAACTAAGCTTACAAGCTAGCATCCTGAGGTCGACGGCATGGTTGACAACGCGTGCGGATTCATTTACAAAATGAGCTAAGAGCTGATGCAGGCATGGCTGGTGGGGGATAATTGCCTGCGTTTGGTGAATGTAGCTGCAGCTAAAAGGCTCCAGTCACATAGGCTACATTAATAATAATAGTGGTGATGAATTTCCCCCCAATCCGAATCTTGGCTTCACGTGGAGTCCGCAGAAAGCTCGGCACTTAACAGTCATTAGCTCTAAGTTTGGAAACTACCACGGCATCTCGGCACCTTGGCGGGGTTTCTATGTCAACTCCACGTAGCATTAGCTCATCCAGCTACTAACATCAACACAGTAGTTCTTCTCACTATGGAGCTTTCCACAGTCAGATTTTATTCACTTTGTTGACAAGGGAACAAATGTGTGCTACCATAAATGTACTGTTGTGCTGTAGCCCAGCTAGGAAAGCAAATCGTTACCATATTTCAAATGAAAAAGCATTTTCAGAAATGCTTTTTCATTTTAAGAATGTGGCTGCATTGTTTGACTCATAAATGAAATTAGTAATCAATCATCCTGTTTGCATTTTAAATTTCTTCTTTAATGCTTCTCATCATTTTACTTAATTAAAATAAAAAATAAAAATACATTTGAGATTTATTTTTTGAAAATGTACCCCAGAAAATACATACCAAAAATAAATTTGAAATGTAAATTTTGAAAATGAAAAAGTATTTTCAGAAATGCTTTTTCATTTTAGGAATGTGATTGCATTGTTTGCCTCATAAATTAAATTAGTAATTAATCATCCTATTTGCATCTTGAATAAATGCACAGCACTATTTAACTTTGATTGAAATATGTACAGTGTGATTTATATCAGCCAACAAAATGTGGGCTAGCCTTGGAAATAACTTGTAAGCTGATTTAGGATTTGGTGATAGATGACAATTGTTAAACTAGTCGGTCATTTCAATGCTATGATAGTTAAATTTACTTTTGTGTACCCTTTCTGTTTAAGCTAACTGCTGAATTTAAGAGGATTACAACCATCAGTTTGCTGTCAAAGTTCTTCTCCCAGCTGGATGCTCATTCTTCAAACTTGATGAGGGTGTTTGGCAAGAAAGGCGGCGTTCAAGGAAGAAAGATAAGGAGCATCATGATACCCATCACCAAGGTATGATAATAGAATAAAATAGAAATTGTCAAACCTGTACCGATTCAATATTCTAAACTTAATGCTTGAAATTTAAAGCGGAAGTTTCAGAGGGATGGAGAGAAATAAAACTAGATGGAGAGGGGTGTAATGTACTTTTATGAAGAAGGATCTGATAAAATTTTAACCTTGGGCAGATGTGACAATGTCCACTGATGTTGCAATGGTAGGTTCTGTTTCCTGGGACCACATGCTTACATTTGACATATTTCTATGATAAAATGTCTTGCTGGTACATAAAACCAATGCACCCATGGATATTGTAAGTTCATATATCATAAAAATTGTCAATGATTTTTACATTTTGAAGAATGTATTATTTAAAGTTTTGTTTGTAAAATCTTCTACCAGTTGATTAAAATGTTTTATCTTTAATTTATTGTCCTACATACTCAGACTGACGCCATTGATGTCAAAAGAGAGTGAATCATCAAAGCCCTGTGTGTGTACCTGAATGAAGAGCCCGAGAACCTTGTGAAAGAATACATGGTATGTAATTTAGTGTGTTTAAAAATGGGACCAGTATAACATATCTTTACATGTATATCCTCTATTTCCCCCTTTTTTCTGTGAAGAACACAGATTGTGGGAGCAGTGAAGCTGCAGTGATGGAGACGACATTTGGAATATTTGTCATTCGCAAGGAAGGTGCAGAGCCAGGTGATGGACCGGAAGATGTAGGTATAGTTCTGGGTGGGCTCGTTTCCGAGCCCATCCAGAACTATACCTACATCTAATAATTCTACCAACTGGGAGCATATATAGAGAAAAATGAACTCTCCCTAGCACTGATCCCTGCGGTACTCCATAGGTAACCCTAGAGCATGAGAAAGATGTATCATTAAAGTGAACAAACTGTAAGTCAGATATATACGATTTAAACCAGTCTAGTGCTGTTCCTTGAATTCCTAGAAAATATTCAAGTCTTTCCAAAAGAACATTATGATCAAGTGTATCAAATGCAGTACTGAGATCTAACAGAACACGTACAGATAGATATAAGTCTATTATCTGAGGCCATGAGAATATCATTACGGACTATCACCCTTGCTTACAGAGAAGAAGAAAAAGAAGAATGAATTCAACCATGAACTAGGACAGGATCCTGGCGAAAGGAAAAAAAGTCTCAGGTATGAATACAGACTCCAAAACCATGCTGGAAGAGTTAATCTTGCACTTCCCCCCTTGGTTTCTGCTGCTCTTAAGCTACTTCTGACTTGTCTTTGCAAGCTGTCGGAGCAAAGGGTCACTCCTGTCAGTCAGTAGAGAGGAGGTGAGAGAGAGACACACAAACCCCAGCAACAGTTGTATGGACATGGCATTGGCCTCCGTTTCTTTAATATTAATTTTCAGACAAGTACTTTAAGATGGTTCTAATTTTAAAAACCACCTCATAAGTTTTTTTTATAGAAAGCATGGATCATAAATCTTACTCATTAAGGATCCTTGGAGATTTAAGATAAATGGAAATGCTCCTTTTGCTGAAATGTTCCCTAAAGGTGTAGTAGCAGTGTTCTGTTGCATTAATGAAACTCTCTGTCACTTAGTGCACGTACCAGTCTCTGTGTATTAGTCTATGAAAGCCATAGCAACACCTGATTGGCTCCTGCTACATCTGCATACCAAAGTGCCCTTAAACATGTAAAAAAAACTACCTGTTGTACATGGGATTTATAAAAGTTTCAACCCACAGGAAATAGCTGATCCATCATCCCCAGTGTGGAAGATTTTTTGCTCTAATTTCTTTAATACTAATGTTCTTTAAGGATTGACAGAAAACTGGCAGTCCTAGAGCAATTACAACGATACTTTGCAAAACCAAACAAAATGTATGAAAGTAGTGACTGTTGAAAGAATTTGTAGCTGTAAGGGAAGTTAAGCAGATTCTATGAGAAGAGATAATCTTTCTTAATTCTACCATAACTTACCGTCCTCTTCACTTTGTTATTTCCCTCAAAGTTTGCGGTGCTTAAATTCCAAATCTAGTAGATGACAAGTAGCAGGTGTACTCCCTACACATCTGAAAGGAACACGTATTTCTCTACAAACAGAAACTTCATCTTTGTTTCCAGGGGAGATCACAATGATCCAGTGCAGCCTCAAAAATAAAGAATTTTATAGTTTCTTACATTGTCTGCACAAATTCCTTTGGATTTTTAGGCTTCCTTATCTATCTATCTATCTATCTATCTTTCTATCTATCTATCTATCTATCTATCTATCTATCTATCTATCTATCTATCTATCTGTCTATCTGTCTATCTGTCTGTCTGTCTGTCTGTCTGTCTGTCTGTCTGTCTGTCTGTCTGTCTGTCTGTCTGTCTGTCTGTCTGTCTGTCTGTCTGTCTGTCTTTCTTATGTCCGTCCGTCTGTCCATCCATCCTCATTTCACTATCTGACTGCTTCCACCCATCAAATCTTTTCAAGGCAAAGGAGAAAAATTTGGCAGAACCTTCCAAGCTGATTGGCTAAAGTCAATCCTACGTGCCCACCTTAATACCCAGTAATCAAGGTAACAAATGAATAGCAGCAGAGACCAGAACCAAATTTTATGCTCTTGTTATGTCATCTTCAAAGATGAAATTGTGGAAGCTTGCAAAACAGATGAGAGCAGCCGCTACGGTTTGCATACATTCTGCTAGGCTGCCATGTTTGTTTGGGTTGGCTGTGGGCTTGACAACTCTTGTTTTTGTCATGGCTGTATGTCTCACCTTTAACCATAATACTGCAACGTTATTGGTCAGGGTGATTAGGTTGGACTTCAGTTAAGTTGGAGTGCTACAACATGGTTTCTTTGTGTACTAACAAACTGCTAGAATTCATCTGGTAGTAAAGGTTAACCATTCATTCCTGAAGTTTTAATTCACTAAAAAGTGCAAACAAATTATCTAACCCTGAACTTTTTCTACACAGTATGATGGATGCCTTTTTTTAATGTTGACACAATTTTAAAAAGTCCAAAATGTCTCCTTGAAAGTGAACAATGACAGTGTTCTATTTAATTTAACTTTCTGTAAAACTTTTCTTTCTCGTCAGGCTGTCTACCATCCATTGAATAATGTATGCAAATGTAGATTTGGTTTGCTGTTTCCTTTCAAGTCTTGCCAATAGACGTGCCACATTGGTGACAGAACAAAAGAAAATATGGAGTGTATCAAAGAAAGCAAAAAATGTATGCAGTCAAGGTGTCAATTTGCAAGTGACTGTCTATGCACGGTTATCAGAAGTCATTTGTAGACATGGCTGTAAAGAAAGTTTATATCAAGGAGTTTGATGGTGCTTCTGAGGAGAAAAGGAAATACAGCCTTATCTTCAGGAACACGCCCACCAAGCATGACTGTGATTAGCAGAAAGACAGACAATGCTGAGCAGTGAAATAAATTAGGCCCGAAAGAAGCCCCTAGGTTTGCTGCCGAGTGTCCGGCTGCAATATTTTAGAGCAATGGATGTAGCAAAGAAGTCCATCTTTAGGATAAAAAAAAGGGTTGTGCATGTTTAAGTGCATTAAAAGGACTGCTAGACAATAGGGTAAGAAATGCAAACCGGTTGCGTACGACGTTTCTCCAGACTGCAGGATTTGGGCCATTTAAAAGAATATGGCTGAATCAGCAACACTGCCGCCGTACTGAACCTAATCTATCGAATAGTCCTGCAGGCGGAGACTGAGTGAGAAGGAGAGGAATAAAGGAAGTGAACGAAGGGGCGAAGATGTCAAATGAGAAGAGAGGGAGAATCGAGAGATGAAACAAAAGGAGAAGGAAGAAGCAGCAGAGGGGGGATAAAGCAATAGATACAGTCCTGACAGGAACGGCCAGGAGGGAGAGAAGAGAGATGGGGAGAGACAGAGGAAGCGAAAAGCGGTGGGTGAGAGATTTATCAGAGGAGACGGGAGGAGCGGGAGAGGAGATGGAAAGAGGAGAGGGGAGAAGCTAAAACAGACAGAGGGAGAAAGGGGCAGAATGGAGAGAGAGTAGGGGTGGAAAGATATGGGCACCAAACAAGGGAGAGATAGAGAAAACTCCCCCACTGTCTGCTGGCAGCCTGCCGCTTCTCACTCTTAGATTGTTCTCTCCATCAGATTAACAAGAAGAGAGGTTGAGAAGTCTGTAGCCCCCCCTTCCTCCTCCCCACCGCCAACACTCCTCTTCCACAAGCGGGTGGTGGTGGTGGGGGGTAACATGCTACTTATTTCTTTATCTTTTGACATTAACACAGATTTATCCCTCTGTGTAGCTCACTCACATTCTCATCTAGCGTTTCCTTTCAAACTGAACACATGGGTGGACATATATTGTTGCCATTTAAAGAGAGCTGGGAGGATGGGAGGAAAAAAAATCCTGATCCCTCTGCTTTGTTCTCTGCATATTCATGAGTAGAGAGAACATGTCTGATGATGTTTTGCTCCATGTAAGCAGAGATGTAAAACGGTTAAGAAAAAAAAAAAGGTACATTATGTGTAAAGTTCCATAAGGGTTTTTTTTTAATCAGTTGCAGTTATTGCTTGAATAGCAGATTAAACAAATCTCTAACCTCTACCCTCTGTTTACATATGAACAGTGCATATGTCCAGAGCTAATGTGCAGCATTCTCTGCTCTGCAAGAAGGCTTTTATTCTGTAAAACAGTATATGAAGGTCCCCCAGCTGCCACTAAAATCTGCTACGAGGGAATATTGAGATCTTCTATTCTGCTATAGTGATGATGGTGAAAGAAAGGTGGACTTAACCAAAGCTTTTTGTAAGTATTTTGCAACAGCAGTACGGTATGAAGATCACTGTTCACTCGACTTTATTATTCACCCGGAAAAATGTCAAACCAAATGTAACCATCACAGGGGAAATGAGCTGAAGGGAAAATCCAGCTGTCTGTAGGATTTAATCAGCCCAAGGCAGTATTTATGGCAGCAGACATGAAACCAAACACTGGTATCGTGTCAAGAAGAGTTATTGCAATCAGAGATATTTTAAAGGAGTGGTTGTAATGTGCATTCAAGTAATTCCCCCGAGGATTTGTATCAAAACTACTCCAGAACGATTTAGACACTTTTTCACTCTAAATTGTTGATTATACTTGTAAATATACATTTCCAACAGCCAACAAGAGATTGACATTTTTTTGCTATTAAACAAAAACCGGAATCATGGTTTATTTTCTGCTGGAGACTTTTCAAAATGCTTAAATTATATTGGGAAAATATTCTTTGAGAGAAAAAATGCTTAAATTCTTTGTTCCATCAAAAATGAAGTGTAAAAAAACCGCTCCAAAATCAATTTGGTTGGTGTTTCTTGCGTGAACCTATCAAAGCCCAAACTGGACTTTTTTGTACCTTTAAGGAACATTCCCTCCAAACGTGAATTGGGCAAATTTTCTGCTTGGCTCACCTGGCATTAGTTGCTTGACATTTCAGATCCCTGTCATGTACAATGCAATCAAATTTCTGCACAGCTCACATCAGCCTCCTTAAATATAAACAGTATCTAGCTGCCTACTGGTGTTGCATCATATTCTGTGCCCATACTGTAGCTCACAATATATCATGGGGGACAGAATATCTTGTAGTACTGATTCCTGGTGTTTGTTCAACTCACTATGGCTGATAGCAAGTTATGGCTCCACATTCAGGAGCTGTGGTTGGATAACTGTTCCCAGCAGTACTTCTGTTTGTCCAGGTTATGGCTGCTCTGTTCCTGCAGGG